ATAAATGTATATTTTTACGATTACAAATTGTCATTTTACAACTTCTCCAAGGAAAATTATCCTGTACCTCCCAATTATTTTTCACATTGTTGGGCTTTCGAATAAATCCACATCAAACAGAGGCAGAGGTAACTTTCCCCAGACAAAAAATCCTACATGTCCCACAAGACGGTGGGAGGTATTTCCTGTGGAAATTTTGGAAATCCCACATGAAGATTTTTCCCACATCGATGTCCCACAAAAATGGTGGTATCCCCCACACAACTTGACTTCCCACATGATGTATGTCCCACAGGAAGTGGGACTTAGAATATTTTCCTGTCGAGTGGCAAGGTCTCCATGTTGTAGATAGTCATCGTCCCGCCTACTATCTTCCAGCAGAAGGCGCAGTAGCGCAGACGGTAAAGGTCCTAGCTAGTAATGAGAAGGGTCTGGGTTCGAATACTGCCACTTGACTCACTTTTTTAACCTTTTAACTAAAAACGTTTACGTAATTATGTTACTGAACCATTCTTGAACATTTTGAACAGTATTCTGGTACTCGTTTGTAGCCAAAAGGAGTAGTACCTGCTATTTTTTTCTGTAGGATTTCATCCTGTGGGAAATATTTTTCATGTGGGAAAATGCAACCTGTGGGAAAAATGTCCCACGCCAAAAACCTACAAGAACCTGTGGGAAGTGACTTCTTGTGGGATGCTATGTGGGAATTTTAGTCTGGGTCACAAGCTTTCGCCCTGCGGAACTCTGTCGTGGCTTGCGCGAATGTGGCGTGTGAAGATAACTTAATATGATATGATAAACGATTGTCATAGTGTTCATCCCTCACAAGGGCATCGTGCAAAGTTCAAAACTGTTCAGATCAATCAAATCGCAGGTCTTTAACGTTGCTCAAAGGAGTCGCCCCTACTGCCCACAATTGGTAATAACAATAACGATGCTTTGTTTTGTTTCCGGCTAACGCTCCGACACTCTAGGCACAAGTTGTCCATACCAAAGCGTTACAAGATTAGCATGATGTTTTTGTTTTCTTTATTTGTACTGAGGGCCTAAAAGACTTCGTCCCCACCTTCCTTTCTTTCAATATTTCATCGCAGAGGATAAAACATTAATCTGCTTCTGTCGCATTTTTACGGTGACTGAAAAGAGTTACCCTAGGCGGTCGCTATTCCGAACAACTATTTGGCAGCAGTCGTTACACCACCTTCATCCAGCCGATCATTCCCTGATCACGTTTTGATGATCCGGGCCCACATCATCCTGGCACACAGCTAGACCGCGACCGCCGCCACCGGGGCGTCCGCCGCCGCGCGCCATCTAGCGACGGGGGCGGCAACGCGCTGCCCAGGGCTCGCGGTTCAGCCTGCGTCCGCCAGGTGGCGCGACCACCTCTGGAGAAGGCGCGCGGCCAGCGGCGCTCGGGAAGGAGCGCGCCAGGGGAAGGACCAATATCCTCCGTTGAAGTACTCCACAAATGGACGAATTGGGATGAGTTTAAAATCTGGCTCCCCGGTAATTACACAAGAATGATGTACAACTGTTCAAGATCACGTTTCCACGCATCCATTCCTACTTGAAGTCCGCAAACTACAAAAGAAAAATCAAGCATACGCTTGGGTTATTCGTTCTTTAGATGAGTTCCTCTGTAAGCAGCGATGGAGGAACGGGAAGGGCACGCAAAGTTAAACTTTTTTTGGAAAACTTTTGGTGTCTATCTCGTCTTGTAAACGGCAGTCGCAAAACAAGTTATGAATAGGAAAGTTATCCCTACTCATGACTCTTTTTACGCTAAAGGTCTACGAGATATGGGCACTGAAATTACCCTCGAAATGTTAAGTTTTCAAAACTGCCTTCCCCCTCGTTCGAATACTTAAGTGACAGGAGCGCCGTGGTGGTAGGCAGACCCGCTGCGCACCACTGCCCGCTGCACAGCATAACCGCACGGCGTTCGTCTCTCCAGTTGGCGCCTTTAACCAACTTTCTGCTTTCGTTAATTCAAAAACACAACACAAAACGCGATTTTCGTGATTGAGTCTGTTGCGTATTGCAGCCCTCTGCCGGTGTTATCGGGCGGCTCGGTGGGGCGGAGGGGGCTGGCGGCACTCCGCCTTGAGCAGCACCGGCACTTCAGATTAACAGCAACTTTGGAGCATCCTCCTCATCTCAGTTTCGGTTTGCGGTTCCCAAACAATGGTCGAGAGTCTAGAGATTGCTTCCGCGATTATCGAGGAGAGCGAAGCGGAGTGGAGCCGGCGGCCGCCGCGGCGCGGTCCCCACAGCAGCGCAGCAGCGGCAGGCCGGCTGCGGGGTATCGGCAAAGCAGTTTTAAATAATAACAACAACAACAGACAAGTTTTGGACCAAGAAGAGCAAAGCGGGAGCAAAGCGGCCGAGTGAAATCCGATTAAAAGCCGGCCGGCGGCAAGTTTATAATAAAGCGAAAGCAGAGCAGCAATACCGACCAATTTCCGGGACATTTCATGGCGGAAACTGCTAGTGTCTTTCATAAAGTGCAATCGGGAGTTAATTATCTGACAAGTGATAAACACTGGATTTAGCAAGTTGCAGCGATATTTTGCTGAGTACAGTAATGGCAGGTTCACGATTTAAAACTCGTCGATTTCTCTCCTCACTGTGGCGGAACGCCGCGCGCGCTTGCCGCAGCAAAACTTTCCCAGCCGATAAACGGTCCGTAAAAAGCACTCCACTCCAATTTTTTGACGACGCTGCGTGTTGTGCCCCGCCTGCCATGCCGTGGCCGTCGATTTTGTAATGGGGACCGTCCAGCCAAAACAGGTGGAGAGAGGGGGGTGGGGTGGGGATGAAGAGCACGGATCGGGGAAAGGGCTGTGTTACACATTTTAAGCACATTTTTGGGCCGAACTTACACTATAATTTCCACGCTTTGGCCGCCATTTTGCATCTTGCATAAAGTGCGCTCAGGAAGCATATAGCAATGGGCTGAAAAATTGTCCTTTGCCACTAAGAGAGTGACTAAGAGCTGATAAAACAAGCGTTAACACCGGTTAACAGTAGTTGGGGTTCAAAAACAAGCTGAATCTTTGCTCATGAAGCAATTTTCTTTGTGCTTAAACCACTGCCTGGGAAATGTTTAACCAGTTTAAAATTCACAACAAACGAAACAAGCCAGCTGGACACTTCTTGCAGCCGTTGAACTTGTTGTGTTAGGTGGTTTAACAATTGATTCGTCAATGTACACGGAAAAGACGGAAATGACGTAAATTCAATAATATTCGTAACAGGTAAACGTTTCCGCGTCCCCTTTTCTACTAAAAATACCACGATTCATCGGGCCGTTCCCCGACACAGGGGATCCACGGCGCAGGGAAGGCCAAATTATCCGGTACAAATTAATGCTGTCCATTGCAGCGGTTGGGTTTTGTTTTCACACTCTACTATTTTTTTTCAGGGGCGAGGGTGAGAGCTGGAAAGGCGAGAAAGAGAGAAAAATTAGAGAAAGGATGTCGGTAGGGGAAAGGAGGGGTGGGGGGGGGGAGTTGAAAAGGACTATTATCCCGTGTTTGGTCGCATCGCGCGCGTTTGTATAATTAATACTCGTTGTTCGTTTTTTCCCACCGACACGTTTGCCTGATTCCTGTGCGCTCCCTCACACTGGTCCGAGTGACCTCCTGTTGCAGACGTGGACCGTGGCCCCTCCTCTCCGATCGTTGATCTTGCTTAGCGCTGACGGCGCCCTGTAATGCTTGTTTGCACGATGAACAGCACTCGGCCATCTCACTCGATCTCCATAGTAAGTTCGTAGTAGGAAGGCTTACAGAAAATTTTTCCTTGACGCAAGTTGTAAAGTTACAATTTGCAATCGTCATAATATGCAGTACGTATCGACTTAAAATCCACTGGCAAGCAAAAAATGTGCTCTCGTTAATTTTCAACTTCAATGTAATTCGAGTTTATTTATTTATTTTTTTGTAAATTTACGCCGATACTTTTCATGGTGAATACATTCACTACTGACATGAAAAAGTCTTTTCATATCTTTTCATATCTTATCATATCTTTTAACGCAGGATGTTCGTCACATTTAAATATTATCAGTGGAAATCAATAGCAGTTTATGGGCGGCGCTCCAACCAAACATGCTAACCATACGGCATCTTGATTGACCGTTGTGACGAGGGTCACCTAGTCGAAGACGAACAACGGCGATGCAACCCAACCGGCTCTTCGTCAGCGCTGGGAGACCTGGTTTGGTTTGTAGCCCTTCGCCGATCACGTCGGTACCCGTCGCGCAGAGTTGGGGACGGGTGGGGCAGGTGAGGAGGGGTACAGAAGGGCTGTTAAAGTAGGAGGTTGGAGGTACTTGGTGCGATCCAGGAGGGATCAACATAATCCCATAGTCACTCCCCCCGGGCTCGGGAAGTGGGAACGGGAGGAAGAGCTGGAGGAGCAGTGGCAAGGCCAGGGGGCGCGGGGTGCACATCGCGCGGCAAAACCGAAAGGAAGCATAATCATTTCTGATCTCCTGCGACCCGACCCGACTCCCAACACGACCTGTCGTCGCACCAGAGCTGAGGGGAAAAAGATCAAGCTCCCTCTCTTTTCGCCGCTCTCCTTAGCCCCCCTCCTCCTACTTCGCATCCCACGTCTCCTATCCCTCCAGCGCCGTAGCGCAGCATCGACGCGGCTAAGCGAAAACAAACACGCAGGCAGTGGCATGAGGAGGGCGGGCGGGGAGGGGCCAGCGTTGCGCCCCGCCAAACGCCCCACCCCAACCCACCACGCCGCGCCTCGCCACGCCAC